ACTTGATGATGACATTTCGAGCATAAGTTATTGCTCATAATCATATCTGTGTAATCACACTACTTTCGGCATCTGATTTTTATAATCCTGTCACCTCATATTCTTTGTTTTAGTTGGTTGTAAAATTTTACATATCTTTGGCATAGGTATTGTGTCATTCCTATTACATGTGTTGGGTTTTGATTTGATGAATAAAGATTCAGTAATCAATCTCCATCTCTACCTAATTATACTGGACTTAAATAAGTGCAGAGGTTTTATCCCACCGTATTGTGTGGTTGTGTATTAATGCATGCATTGCAATAGTCGAATTGTTATTGATGTGATTGCCGTCTGTCATTCCATATTTAGTTAAATTTCCATATTCCGCTAATCTAACTGAGCCCTACCGGCTAGTTTGACCTACGTAGTTGACTTCACAGTCATTACATGGAATTTGATAGATTATATTATTTTTCTTGATTGATTCTATTGGATCTTTAGTCCGCCAAAGCTTATCTCTGAGTGATTTTGTAGGTTTAAATACTACCCTAACTCCAGCCTTGTTGAGAATTCTACGTAAAGTTTCTTATGTTCATTCCTTACATGGTAACACAGTGGAAGCTTTGGATTTCATTCTACTCGTGTTATCGTTATTATTCGTACTCCTATTAGGGTGGTGTAGATCTCTATAGTTGTATATTCTCACAAATTGGAATTATGTGACTACTGAAGATTCACATTAGTTCGCACAATCGAAAGGACTATATGCACTATCGGTCATTGCCCATGGATGGTTTACATAATATGATAAGATTCTTGGTCTGCTAAGGTGGATCCGTCTATTTCGCGGTTTTTAGATAAAAACCTAGATAAATTGGAAAGATTTTAAGCAAAATTTATCAGGCACGCAAGCTTGTTCAAAAAAATATGGTTTGTATCAGTTGGTCTCAGACATGAACAGCTGAGAGTGGAGAAAACGGTTTCTATTCTGTTTTGCAATATCAAAGCAGCGTCTCTATCGAACTCCTCGCAAAATGTTAAACTAGAATGAGGCTTCATAATATTTCACTGATTGGGATTTCGTTTCTCTTGTAACAACGAGTCAACTTAATCGATAATCTCGAGTACTTTACTTATCCAGACACCAAGCTGTTCCATAGTAATAACAGAAAGCGACAAAAGCACAAATTAACGCTTAAAGTCTTTAGATACTGAGATGGAGTTATTTCGAGTTTTATTTTTCGATCGATGTTGATATGTGTTCAAGATTAGCTTTCTGGGCAGATCTTCAATTCGTAATCACAACAACTAATCAAGTCTTTTCTCAGAGTATGCTTATGTACATAAAAATTGTAGGTGTATGTGAAGCAGTTTTCCCCCCAAAAAAATTGTTCTCACAGTCAGAAAGAAACCAGCCATGATAATTTTGTAGTTTGCCGAAGCACCGGGTTGTTGTTCATGTAAAATTCAGATATCTCCACGTGATCAGTTCTGTTATTTATCTGCTTATTATTATGTTATTATTATTATTTTTCGCTTTGGGTTCCTAGTGGAACATAAGGCCTCAGTTGCATGTCGCCATTACAATTTCTTCTCTCCAGTCTTTTCAACCTGGCTCCACCACAGCCTACAAGCTTTCATTTCTTCCTCACATGATCTCGATGTCACCCTCACTTCGGACGTCCAACTTGTCGTTTCCCTTTCGGCTTCCACTGGCGAGTGATGTCCTAAATCGGTCTTCTCAGTGTATGCACTATCCATCTCCACTTTCTTCTGCATATTTGTTGGGTGATAGGTTCTCGCTTCGTTGGTTCGTTGCCAGCCAGAGTTCCTTGTTGCTTATTCTTTCTGGCCATCCATCTGATCTTCAGTATGGAGTGAGCGTAGGTGGCAGCTGTTGATGACGTATGTCTGTAGTTTGTTTGAAATACTTTTCGTGACATGCCATCACATAGAAGAACTGACTTGGCTGGCATTAGTGTTGAAAATCCGGATAATGTTCGCACTTTATGCTGAGTCGAGTGCAGTTGAGTGGAGTGGACTGCAGTAGATCTCCACAGTGATTTCAAGTTAATGCAGGAAGGCCTGTCTTGGTGTTTTTCCTATCCTGGCCTGGCTTTGACGTCCTCATCTGCACCACCATCACCTGTAGTTGAAACGATGCTGCCTCCCGAGGTAGGTGAAACAGACTACTCCATTCATATCTCTCCCGTTCATGGTGATTGTTGCTTGCTGTTGTTGTTGGTTGGTCAGGTATCTTCTTCACGTGTGTCTTCTCTACATTCACTTGAAGGATGTCCGGTCTTCGCTGCCTCGCCTCTTCTGTCAACTTGTTGGGTTTTGCCTGTACATCTTCGAGTTTGTGCGACAAGACATTAGACATAAATCACCATTGGCGGTGGCAAAATCCATATCTTCTTCTGTGGTCTTTTCATCGTTCCAGCCAGCGTATGCCCATCTCCTCACTGCTCCTCCCTGTTTCTTGTATGTATCTACTTACTTCCACTCTATCCTTCTTAATTCATGTACTCACTTTGCTAATGATATGAGTGAAAGCCGAGCTAAAATTAAGCAGCGTCCGTCAAGTTGAGTCCTTAGCATAACGACATTAACCAAACAGTCTACACTGGTTAGGTTAAAAATTCGGCCAATGCATAATTTGTGACATGGCTTTATAACAACATCAAGACAATATTTTTCTTGTAGTTATACATTTATATCTATATAAAAATATATTTACGATGGGCATGTTTCTTGTTATTGCATTCATTGAGTTTACTGAAACTGTGGCGTCAGATTTCATGTAGTTTAGCTTGTCATTATGCATAATTCTGACAAAAATGAGAATGTTGGTCCTTTTTTCATTACAGAAACTTGTACGTTCACGGCTAATCCAGTCTAATCGTAAATCAAGAGTTTCTGTTCCGTTTTTCAGGTTGATTTTGTTGCTATAGCAACGCATTGTTAAAATACTGCCTATTCACGCAGATAACATATTAATCCGTGTCATAATTTAGGGATTAATGGTATCATTTGTCTATTTCTATTTTTTGTTTCTTCAAGTAATGCAAGTGACCTTTAAATTAATGTGTTTCAATCACTTAGTGAAATAAGCAATGATGAAACCTTGTAGCTTTCATCAAATTGTAAGAAGGCATGGTATTTCTAAAGTAACGCCCTAAATGATTTTGTGGATTCTTTCAAAAGGTGAATTATTGTCAAGCCTAGTCTAGTACTTTCCCTGAAAATGAACCTTTACTAATAACCTGTAACAGACATTTGAACATGTTTCTTATTTCGTATTCATCTTGGCGACTCTCAGTGGAATCCAGAACGCGCGTTCCGTCCTATCTAGAACTCAACAGCTGGATGTGCCTAAACCCCAGTGAATGGTGCTATTCCAACAGATACTCAAACCCAGTGGACATCGTTTCAAAGACCAGGATGTTATCCAGTAGGCTACTAAGGACCTTGAGATGTCATTGGTGCAACAGGTATCATTTGTTTTATTTGATGTTTGTAATTTTCCGTGGCTATACACAGTCGAATTATTTATTTATTCCAGAACTAAATTATTTACAGCTTTAGAATCAAGAAACGCAAAATATAAGGAAACTGTAGCATAATCGTGATTAATTGACACGTTCTGACATATTTAATCGTTTCTACCAGTGCACAATCGTATTTGGCAGCAGATACAGACTTACCCCAAACCTACGCAATTATTTTACCATTTATTATCACAAAATATACTGTACATTTACATGCAGAAATGTGTATACATAAGTTGATGACTGGGAGTTGACTTGTGTAGCTGTCGAATACATAATACTCAGCAAATATATATGAAAATTGCAATGAGGTAGAATAAATTCTCTACCATACCACCACTTCCGAGGTTGAATCTCATTTGCTATGTACACTGCCCTCCTCCGCAGATTTATCCTCAAGTAAACGTTGCATGCAGGGATTCTGATTTCCAATTATAATTTTCTTTCACCGACAAGAATATAAAACTGGTAGGACACTTTTAGGTCCAAGATTTGTTCAGTTTATTGCGGATTTTATGTCTCCTTTTCAGGCACCTAAAACCAATATACTATTGAAGAACATGAAGGGTTAAAAACTGATCATGGTGATCTGTCGCTTTTGCTGGCCTAAACCAATATATGCGTATTTATAACATTGCAATACATTAGTGCAACTAACTGACTGATACTTTACTCATTGGTAAAACATACTGCTTTAGCAGTAGGTCACGTGAATCCAATTTTATGCGTCGCCATATTCCATAAAAAAAAAATACAAAACAATTTTGTGACTAACGCTTTACACATCACAGTGACAACTTCTACCGATTCACAGTGCAGATTAAAATATCGACAAGAAATAATGCTAATATTTTTATAGACAGAAACAGCACATATTCTTTATTAAAAATACTCACGTTAATTACGTAAGGTCTGACATTTTTCAGATATGAAGCAATGCAAACAATTCTGTCAAACTCCTAGTTCATGGAGGTTGCTCATCTTACTTCCCCACCGTTGTAAGAAGGATACCCGCATAAATTTGTTCATAAATGGAATTTTGTCTGCAAGTTGTTGTACACTTGGTAGATTTCAAGTTGATGCTCATCACGGATAATGGAGAATATTTGCAGCTCAAGAGGATAATTTCTATTGGGTTGAGTTCTCTGAGCTGGATTGTTTAATCGTCGAGCTTTCTTTGTCATTCTAGACAAAATCATCAGCATAAACTCCAGTAGGAGGTGAACAATAAGATTTTCTCTGCAACTTATTTAGTAACTTTTCCTGATATCCTTTTATGTGGTTGGTCGTTTCTGCCAAGGTTTTATCCCTGTCTCCAATTTTATTTTGATTGGTTCTCCTAATGATCTGAAATTTGACGATTAAACAACTCAGCTCGGAGAGCTCAACCCCATTAGAAATTGAAAGTCTGGAAGCACTGGAAAGCTATTTCATTTTGGTATTTGACTACTCAGCAGCATGAAACCACAACCCCACCAGGGATGGAAATCGAGTCTCGCGGCGAATGCATTTTCAATGATTCTCCACCTGATGTCAGTCCGTGGTAAATACTGCCTTGAAATAAATTGAATTCCCATAAAACTCAAAATAAATTAGGTAGATCTACTAAGGGTCAATCTAAGTTATCTGCGTGTCCAGGATGCTGGACAATTTCTGTCAAGATACTGATTATGTAAGATATCTTCTAACGGAATACTTACGAAATGAATTGACACATGATCCAGTACTTTATCGGTTAGGTTTTTATACAGAAAATTTCTAAAAAACACTCCCATAAATTCTGTTCTAGATTAAAATTACTTATTAGGACTATTCATTCATCCTAGTCAGTTTATGTAGAAGCAAGTTGTGTAATGTCTTATGCATAAAATACTTTCCAATATATTCGTACCGACCATTTAATCACTGGAGAATGATTGACGACAAACTGCCTGATATTTTTCCTGTGCTGATAGAATTTTATCAACAAATTGAAGAATTTATTTTACAAGCTTGTTGATATGGTGTTATGGTATCGTGTACTTGGTGTTGAATTATTGAAGCTAGCTGACTGGAGATACTTCACGCAGATTTCTTGTTTGCTGCATCCTATCAGCAGTGTGTATTTATAATGTAAGGATAGGCTATAATGCTTCAGAGACTGGAGCACTTTTCTATACGTAGTGCAGCGAGAGGTATCAGTTAAGTTGGCTAAGGATATTTGAGTTCATTTAACACCGGATTGGCTACATTTGTATTCTCAGAGTCTTATGTCAACTGCTTTTGAAAAACATCAGGTATGGTGCTCTCCATTATCAGATAATTTACCCACAAGATCGATTTATGCGATACTTTTGGGACTGTAGGGTAAGTGGGTTATTGAAGACTTCTGCCATTTCTACTACAGTGCAAACAAGAGATTTAACACCTTTATTGATGTTATTAGGTGATGGGTCCTATTCGTTTAGGTGAAACCATAATTCATTTGGGCACAGTTACATCCGACTGGCCAATTATATCCAAAGTTACAAGTGAAGAAAAGTGCATCACTGACTACCATGCTACGAACTTTTAAATGTAGCAATTCCGTTAACTTTAAAATTATTCTGAAATCTTTGATTCCCAAAATAACGGAGGAGAATGATGACAATAGTGGGATTTCTAAGATTCTATACCAATTTTCATTTCTTGATGTTAGAAACCAATCCGACTGGTTCATAAACAAAATTCTTCTCAGCCATCCCTACTCAAAAACACAGAACGCTACAGATTTGGATCTTGATAAGTAAACTTGTCTCAGCTTGGTCAACGCATGTTACTAACACCTAAAATTTCTAGGTTCAAGAAATCGCACGAAATTGATTCCAACAGACTTTATATTGATAAATTATGTATACTTCTAAGAAACCGTAACAGTTAGTCAAGCTAAGAAGAACCTTTGATTCATAAGGGTGGCTTAAAAATTTTAATGGAATGTGCTAGCTAGATATATAAGGCTGTACATAACTAAAGAATAAGGATTTATTTTTGAGATGAATGGGAATTTTTTTAATTTAGAAGTAGTATTCATCATGGACTGACATCAGTTGGGGAACCACTGAAACCTGGGGCACTGGACAGCTGTTCCGTCCTAGAATAGGACTCCTCAGCAATACGCACACACTACCCCTCTAGGGATCGAACCCAGGACCATCAGGTTCCATGCGAACGCGTGAACCATTCAGCCACTGGGTTGGTTCCCAGTGGTTCACAATTTCCAACTTCTGTCAATTCACGACATAGCGCGACTGTCACCCAAGGTCTTCAGTTAGCATCCACTTCACTTCCGACTGGTTGACGCCACATGTCACGGCTTCTCATTAGAGCTTCGTGATATCCATCCGGAAGAAAGTCACTAGTAAGTACTATACAGTAATGTATTTTTTTGATGAATAGAGATTTTTAATTTAGAAGTGACTGGATGGCTAACGCGTCCGCCGTGAAATCCGAAGGTTCTGAGTTCGATCCCCAGCCGGGTCGTGTGTGCGTACTGCCGAGGAGTCCCGTACTAGGACGAAACAGCTGTCCAGTGCCCCCAGATTTGCAGTGGCTCCCCAACTGATATCACTCCATGATGAATACTACTTCTAAATAAGGTTTTAGTTTTAACCTCATCTTACAAACATTGAGTATACTTGTAAAAACCACGTATATTGTAATGTATTAGTGAGTATTGATTATTCCAGTATTCGTATTTCTCATTGAACAAACTTGATGTCCACATATAGTGTATTATTATGTATGATGAGTGTGTGAATTACAGATTGAGATTTGTATGTCCACATATACTGATAGTCCTTATCTCATATGTGTCGGTTGTGTTAATACTGTAGGGGTGCATCGAAACCAGGTCTTATTCCCTTATTCCTATTTAGAAAATTTCAAATCAACTTTATGCGATGAGATTCTGCTCTGAGACGTTCATAATAATTTCTAAAGACTTTTCTGAGTGATTTCGATATTGTCACAGTCGACCTTACTACCTGAAAACCTGTTTTCGACGCGCCGCCGCATACTGACATAACCCAAAACATGCTATAAGGACTATCAGAACATGTGTGTACACAAATATCATCATACATAGTAAAACACTATATATGGACATCAAGTTTGTTCCACAACTTGACAAAGCAGAATCATCCATGAGAAGAACTCATATAAGGCTGTAGTATATAAGCTTGGATATTGTAAACTCCGGTTTATTTTAATTTTGGTGAAGCGTTAAATAGTGAAACGCCAGTTAAAACAAATGTTTATTTTACATTCATTGGGAAATACAACTACCGAAATAATGAATGTCATACATTTAATGCTAAAAATTTTTTCATGTCATCAAATCTCAACTTGGTTCGGATATCTACAATAATGAACATGTTGACCCGCTTTATGACAAACAGTAGAGTTCACCAATCACAAAACAGAATTCAAGTGTGCCTTATCATGATTGGTTGATCCACCTTTTCAATGGCTGTTCACTCCACCCCTTCATCCATCTATTTAAGTGTCACGTGTAACTGTACATTTCTTTAGTTTAAATTATGCAGTGAATAAACAATATGTATACCTCTACAATAAAGTACTTCATATTTTTAAACCTGTCTTTATTATACATTCAACATTGTTATAGTGCTCACTTAGGTAAGTTGTCCCGTTGATCTAAAACACACAAGTTTAACAGTTGACTTTTTCGATATCGTTGAGTTTTTATTAAAATGCTGACTTTTGTCAACTTTGAAATCGAAAACACTAAAGGGTAGATTACTTCATGATAGTGTGCTTTCATTAACTTGTTTCAATTAAAGTAATTCCTCAGACGCTCATAGTTTTCGGTAGCCAGTCAAAACCAGTTAGTCATAATTATTTAACTTCAGTCATATTTTTATGCAACTTAAACTACATCTAAGTTACGCACTTATGCAACTATTTGATTGTTGGAAGTTGGAAATATGGAGCATTGGATTCTGACCCAGTGGCTCAGTGGTAACGCGCTGGCCGCGGAACCTGAAGATCGCGGGTTCGATCCCTGCTGGTGGGGTCGTGGGTGCGCACTGCTGAGGTGTCCCATACTAGGACGAAACGGCTGTCCAGTGCTCCCAGGTTTCCTTCGATCCTCCAACTTATGTCAGTCTTCGATGAATAACAACTTGAACAATTTGATAGTTTAATATAATGATCTTCAACATCTGCAAACTGAGTTATGCGTCTGAATACAAAAGTCAATGCCTGGAAGCTGTGAAGCATGACGGTGACTGACAATTAATCTTAATGACCATTAAAACAGGTATCTAACAATCTATTGCATGTCACATGCTTGTATAATATACTAATAAATAATGTAAATGGTCGAATTTCTGTGAATTTAGTAAATATCTTACTTATTTAACCCAGCTATTTAGAGAAACTTAGTGTCTATTCCTTGCAACTCAAATATATGTTGATACTGAGTGATGATTGAAGGTGAAATGAAAATTTCGGTCACAGGGGGGCTCTAACCAGCCACCACCTTCAGTCATCATGCAGTATCAATATAAGTCTGCCAAACAACGGCTATCTAAGATAGCCAAAATGATAATCAAACATATCTGTCAAGAAAAGGTGTCTATTCAACTCTTTTTATCATTAAAACTGGAAATTATCTAAGAATTTTATGTTACTCATTCTATTTCACTTGACTTAGCCTCCTCTGTATGTATATTAGTCTTTAAGGAGCATCCAGCCTGCTGATTCAGTTACATCTGTTAATAATTTGAGATCGTGTATATAAACATCTATTTGACTTTATCACTTATTGATGACAATACAGAATTCCGTTGAGGAACACTGAATCTTTTATAGAACCTTATTGTCTGACATGTGATTGAGCTAATATTACTCGAAGTTGAAAGTCAAATCCTGTCCCATTTGTCTGTTTTCAGTGGTTTCAAAACGTGAAAACCTTTTGTAGAAGATGAGTAACCTGAAAACATACTCATAACCCATCATACCCGAACTCACTACGTGGAAAACCAGAGTGTAAACAGTAAACAAAACAAAAATTTTATGTGGCAGTAAACGACCCAGATGCATTTGATAAAGTTAATTGGACAAAGTGCAACAAATTAAAGCATCCACGTGACTACTGTGTTTTGAGTATTTTCGATACTCATTTGACTGCAGTGTTGTAAACATTCTCACATAAAAAGGGGGAGAGAAACTCATATATGAAATCAGTTGTGAGAGACTACCAAGTACTCAGTACATACATTCAGTGTTAAATCTTATGTTTTCATCAAAGAATATTAACATAATTTATGTCTTTGACTTCCCATTCCTGTCAACCAAATCAGAAGTGGAACAGAATGCCAACCTAAAATATTAGATTATAACGCAACTATATTCCACAATGATGAGGTTTGTAAAATGTAAACTAACTGATTCCATTCAACTGGCTGAACTGTAATGTTTTCGCCGCATGACTTGAGAGTGTACGCAGGTGAACAGTTTCAAACTGTTAGAAATAAACTATTTTACCTGACCTGTCTTTTAAACTTGACATTATGGAAGCTTTTCTTTCATCGGTGACTCCTCAATAAAGTCTGTTACCTAGTTAAACCGCACAAATGTATGTATCTATGTATGTATAAATGTATGGATATTACTGTTATGCTGTGATTACCTACAAGGCAAAATGAAGATGACTAAAATGCCATTAATAGCTTATGATTTGTTTTCTTGAGCTGTTCTATACCTATAATTATAATGAGTTCTTAGATTTACAGTAGTGAGATAATCATCTATGACAGCTTCTTGTTGGAATGAAAGTAATTAAGTAATATTTCTGTGTTTCTTTCTGGTAAATAAGTTCAACTTTCAGACTAGTGCTTTATTTTTTCCATTTGACGCTTTATCTAAATGTTACGGAAAAATTAACAAGGTGTAAAATATGAATTCAGAGAGAAAAAAACAATATAACACATCAAAAGTGAATATACATAGTTCTTATGAAAATTAGGAATGGAGATGTTGAATAATTCCATCCAGTCACTCTTACCACTATAGGCAATCTAACTAAATATCTATAACTTATTACCGTTTCACAACTCATAGTTTGACCTGAAATCAAGTAAAAATCGAAATTCATGTTAATCGGTTATATAAAGCTTACTAGGATCTCAGGTCATCTAATGGAGGAGACAATTTTTAGACTACGAACGGACTAGTATTTAAACTTCTTGGTGATTGAAGGTGAAACGAAAACATATCCCAGGGCAGGATTCAAACCAGAAACCTACAGATGTTTGGCCCAGTTCTCTGCCAACTGGGATGCTGGATCCAGGTGAAGACTAGATCTTAATTTCACTTCCACTGCCAAGGGTTTTGACCTGCTGCAATGTGAATTTATGATGCCTAACTATCCGGTTATCGTGTTCACACTGCGTTTCCAGCCAGGACTATCATGGCCCAGATTTTCATTTCACCCACAATCATTCCCCAGTATCAATACGAGTTTACCAAACCACGACTATCGCAGACAGTCAAAGTGATAGGCTAATATGTATTTACATTGAAATACATTAAAGTTTCACTTGTCCATTGTCTCCTCATCTGTTTCAAGGACCATGGAAGATTATTTTTTCGCTTAGTTTACTATAGCGTCTTACTTAAATAGACTTTGAAAAGCAGTTCAGAAAAGTCATCTGCTTCTCATACGTTCATCACATTTCTTCATTCAATGTCAAGGTATTTTGAAAAGGTAGTGTCTATCACATTACCATGGAAATAATGCAGCTGGATGAAAAGCTAAACACACACCAGCCACACAGTAATATCAGTCATACTTTTATCAAGGATTCATTAAAAATGAAACTTGTTCAACATCAAACTAACTTTAGGTCTTTCTAATATATTATGTTTCGATTGACTGCAGGGGCCATCGTAGTAACTTCAAAAATAACCAATCAAATTTCGTTGTTTCAACTGGGAAAGTAGTTTTGCATAAGACGAAGAAGTCTAATTGGATATTTCAGTTGTTGTTGAGGTGGCCATTAGAGTCCCTCATTTTTCACCAAAAACTTTCGTCCTTGAAAAAAAATCAACTACAGACGCTGATGAGAGATACTGTGTAGAAGACAATACAGCCATTCATTGACTACCAAAATTTAGATAGTTTTTGCCTTTTGAATTAATTTTTTTTTATAGAATGATTATCTGATATTATTTTCCTTGTATTTAGTGATATTTATTCCAGAAGAGGAAGCGTATGTAGATTTAGTCGCCCAGTTTGCGATTGACAGGTACAATGTGTTGCAAAACAACAAATCGAGTCGATTTGTAACGGCTGATTTTTATAAAATTAACAAAAGTAATCCTCGTTCATGGGGTAACATATTCAAGACTAGTAAGTTAGTGTATTTACATTTTACAATCATTGTTAATTGATAGAATAGCTCCCAAATATGCACAACTATGTCATGTTAACTTCGAATCTGGCACAAATAGTATGGGCGAGACAAGCTACTTAAGATCAAGACATGATGGGATGCAAATACTCTCAGCATATCTGAAGTTGATGTAGTTGCCTTAACATCTAGGATACATCAGTGCTATGCTGAGAAGGGCTGTGGATGAACAATATAGTCTTTTAGTTTCAAGCTTTCAACGATGTTTCAGCTGATATTGACTTCTTTGGACTACCATGGCAAAAATGGTATCTTAGATTTGTAATTTCTAGAATGGTTGTAGTCAGTCAACTTCATATTCACATACAAATAATGAAACTCGAGTCTGAAGAGGACCTTGACCATGGTTAAAGTGAAAACATCGGCTTCGAAATCACTGGTAAATAGTTTCGCTTAATTCACTGTGACACTGAACTGTCAACCAGTTTTGAACCTTAAAAAAATTGGTCTAAAGATGGAGACTGAAAGTGTGCCTTTTATTCACAGTTTTGTAGGCTTAAACTCCCAGCCTGCCTAAATTCCCAACAATTTTGGCTGGATGAATATAGCTTAATACTGGTTTAGTAAAACCGTTTTGCGTGAGATGATACACTTGTGAGACAGCGATAAACTCATGAAGATACTTCAGAAAAAGCGTTTCTTTTCGGTTCCTTGCCTAGTATTAGGAATCTCGTTTACGTAATAAACTTATTTTTGAACATACTTCACGTGGGAGTATAAGTGAATAAGTAACTCTACTTCCTGACCAGTCATTACTGGATAACGCCTTGGCGTTTGAAGCGATGGGTACTGGGTTCGAGTCTAAGTGGGAACAACATAACTCACTAGGGTGCAGGTACATCCGTCATATTTCTATTAATCTGACTGTTAAAACAACTCGGTAATTTCAAATTAATATTCATCATTGACTGACATCGGTTGGAGGAACACTGTAAACATGGGACCACTGGACAGCTGTTTCGTCTTAATATCAGACTCCTCAGCAGTGCGCACATATGACTCCGCCCCACCAGGGATTGAACCCAGGACTTTCGGGTTCCACGGCCAGCACGTTAGCATTGAGTCACCGGGTCGGAATCCAGTGGTTCATATTTTTAACTCCTGTCAGTTCGCTATATAGAGCGACCGTGATGCGTATTCGTCATTGAGTATTTGACCTCACATCCTCCCGGTTTGCCCCACCGGTCATGAATTCTCAGTGGAACTTTAGAAATCACTTCTCGAAGCTAGTCACCAATGTTTCTCCAAATGATTTTGGTCTAAGATTAATACAATCTTTAAATTAATAAGTCCCCACAAAACCCCAAATAGAATCCCGTAGTTATTACACTTATTCAAGGGAAAATCCAGTGGTGTTTGAAGAAATCACGCTTTGAAATGGAAAGTCAGCTGTCTCGCTATAATTCATGATGTCTTAGTAGCTGAAGTTAAACCACTTGTAACGCTAATTTTGAACCTGAACAAATGTTCTCAAAGAGTTCATCCAGTCATTGTAGTATGACAGGCGCTACCAATATTTGTAAAAATTCCTAAAGTATTTTCATTTAACGAAAAACCAGCATTGATTATTGAAAGACAAAAAAGAGGTTATAGTGAATATAATTATCTTTCAACGACTCATTTTCACAGTTGTACATTTGTAAATACAACAGTATGACGATAGAATATTCCAAACAAGATTCTGGTTAAAGGTCAAACTTAATCGGTCGGTGCAGTAGCCATTGAGGTGATATTACGTAGCACGTGATCTCAATAGTTTCTATAATATACAGAGAACACAGATTCGGTATCTGATAAAAAATAAATAAATAAACATGAAATGCATAAATATATGAATACACAAAATACAAAAGTAAAATATAAACAGGAGTTTGAAGTATCTGATTAGTGCATAATAGAAAGTATGTGTGTATATTTCTTTTGAATACACAATTGAGGTTTTAAGTTATGAACTGCCAAAGTTTCGGCTACACATAGGTGTTTAATTCTCATCCCTTTCGAATGGTTTGGTCGAATAGTGTCGACAATTTTAAACGAGGTTATCAGAGAAGCCATATGTCAACAGTCTACGAGACGTTCAACAACAGTGCTTGAGATAGCTTTATGCTCACCCTTCAGAAACGAGGCTGGATGGTTGTCATGAGCTCATTTTCCAAGTTGGCACGTAGTACGGCCTACGTATTCAGCTTCACAGGAGCAAGTGAACCTTTAAATACACACCAATCAGGTTCAATACCCTTGTTTGTCTTTCACTCATTGTTGAATCAGTTGTTGACATGAGAATAAAGTACGGAGTTTCGCAGCGCAGAATGTTCTACTTGGAGAATTTGTCAATCGTTGAAGAAAGATTTCCACGGCAACATCACCTTTGAATGTGAGAATCATTAAAAGTATTTCCTTCGGAGCCACTTGAATCGGTTCCATAGTCTTCTTTTCTTTCATACTTTTCTCTATAAATCTGGACGGGTAGCCATTCTCTAACATTATTTCTTTGGAGGCTTCCTAATTTTTGAACAAGTGCGTCACCACTGCACATCTTTCTTATTCTTGACGAGAGAGAACGTAAAAGATTCTTCTTCCTAATTAAAGGCACCCAACTTTGAAAGTTGGTTTGTTGTCCGTTCCAATCGGGCTATCTGTAGACAGTCCTTTCAGTGAAACTATCGGGTTTCTTTTGAAGTTTGACATTGAGGAAATCTAATTTTTATATTAATGATGCGAGTGGTTGCAGAGGCTCAGCCAAATATCTCTTTTGTAGTGGGGTCTATTTACACAGGTGTAGGTTATACATAAAGAACTTTTGATGTAAATGACTATGAATGAACGTACACTGTGAGGTGGACTTAATGCTAATCCTACTTTTCAGATAACTCTAATAAAAATGCTGGGTCCAGCTTTCAACATAACCACCACTTGACTAATTTGTCTTCAAACAGAAATGTAGAATAACAGTAAAATAAATTTCTAAATAACATATAAGACTGGTTTATTTGTTTTAGTACACAGTGATGACGTTTTAAACAAAAATTATAACCTATAATCATTTCTAAGCAATCACACAACTTTTAACGTCCAGTTTTTGTTGTTCTACCACCTCATGTTGTCTATTTTCAGTGGTGGGAAACTTTCCTTATCTACTAAATAGGCTTCGCTCCATTCTTATAACGTGTGTTGGGTGGTGATTCAATGAACAAAGATTATCATCAATCTATCTCACAACCTAACTACATTTAGCTTTAGTACAGTTGCTTTTTTCCACCTTATTGTTTGGTTATTTTTAAGTCTGTGTACTTCAAGAGCTGAGGCTCTTCCGTATTACTGATCTTAGTGCCGTCTATAATGCTCATATACTTGGGTAATTTGATCAAACCAAATCGGTTGATTCGTCCTTTGTATTTGACTTACAGACATTGTGTGTTATTTTGTTTAATTGGATCAATGGGCTATTTAAGCCGACAAAGTTTATTTCCGAGGGAAGTTGAAAGATTGAGTGCCAATCTAATCACATCCTTGTTGAGAATCTGACATAAAGTTTCTCATGTTCCTTCCTTCTGTGGCAACATAATAGAAGTGTTTAACTCTTTTCTGTCTGTGTTACAGTTGCTATTTTTAATACTATTATCACTTATTTTCTAATGTGCTCCTTCTAATTTTTGAATAAACTCAAGAGGATTATTTGTTTATTGATACTTGTAATTTCCCGTTACTATATATACTAGGTCGAATTGTTCGATCTCCGTTTGCAGATGGTCTTCTGTGCGGATGCCCTGACACTGTTTGTTTCAATTCCTTGTTTGGGTTTTTGATTTACTACTGAGTTTTCCAGCTCCATTATTTAAATATCCCACTAAGGTTGGTTTAACTTACATTGCATATGGTGATCTGAAGTGTTGATACCTTTCAGAGTGTTTTGACTTCCTGTGAAAGGTGATATGTAATCAACCATCTGTTCTTCGTTTTAATTCGAAGGGGCTGTGGCTCATTGGTTAAGGCAGCTGAATTTCAACCAGGGGATCACGGGTTCAAACACCAATCCAACTAGCGAGGTTTAGGCAGCCATTTAGTATCATTAGCTCTCAGACATTTGATGTAGTTCATTGTCTACTACAGGAATGTACTCAAAGTTATCGAGTGAATTTTTATTTCGCTACCTAGCACAGCTCCATGTTCATTTTATGACTCCTTAAGTTTACTTACACTGAAAACCAACAATACGAGAGGTGATAGAAGCATAAAATTTTGATGTTGGAAGTTGTATGGAATGTAAATTGTTCTGGAAATGTCATCAAATACGTGATACTGTATCACTATGTACAATATGAAATAAACAAGTCCAAGTTTTACACTTAGTTTAAAGTTTTAAGTATGTACGGACAACCAAATTAATGCCAAATATTTAGTTTGTTCAAGAGGTTGGAGTAAGCATATTAGCAAGGTGCAGGTTAATCATGCACTTCCAACTATTTTCTCCTATGTAGGAGACCATAGATAATTATTTGTCAGTAAATTGATCAAATGGACTGATTATTCATATCATCTGTCTTTTGAGTTTCAGTTCGCTTGCTTGATTCTTGATAATTTTGAAGATCAGTAAAATTATAGAATAGGTGACTAGGAAAAGTCACTAAACCACTTTACCACTGAAAACAACAGGGAGTCTATGATTCCATGGATGGTTACATTCAGTAATATATTGAAGTCACCAATATTCAAACGTTGATTAGTAGTTCTTATACTGAGACTTTATCATAAGCTCACTAAACACTGTTGCCAGTTTCATACATTTACCAAACCCTACATCCGTTATATAAGTATAAAAAGAAAATTATATCAGTGATTCGATTCAAAGATTTGTGCTCATATGTTTCTCGCCATAGATAAATTGGATAGTTAAGGACCTACGTACTGACAAACAGACAGACAGACAGGTAAAATCAACGTACAACCTTGTACTGAAGTGCATCGGTTCGAATTGCCACAATCCACAGTAGTACACAAAGAACAGGTGGATAGAAAAAGACTCATTTCAGAGTAGATTAAGTTGCATAAGCAATCTGAAGATAAAGGTTAGTGCGACTATTTAAACTCTAGAAGACGTCAAGGAGTGAATACATCTGCACCACTGTGACCGATTTTTAGCCAAGTCACCAAGAGTCCTCAGCCACTGATTCCTATCGTCTCTGAGAACCCAACCAGTCAGTCTACATCTCCCTATATGACTCATATCAACAGCTGGAGACCTCATCGACTGATGCTACGTCTTTGTCAGGAAACCCTAAAGACTCTTCCAACCTAATCCAACTTCTACTAGCATGGCATGTCGAGATAGGTGGTGGTTTGACAAGCGCAGTACATGTTCAAGCCATCTCAGCCGATTAAAGTTCACAACCTCATCGATCAACGTACCTGTCTTGCCTAGTACTATTTGCCTAACCCCAAAAGTGCTTATACGAGTAATGCTAAGAAGAAATCTTTAGTCAAAACCTGTAACCGAATCATGTCTTCTACTTTCAAAGGCCATTTCTCACAACCGTATAACAGGACAGAATGGACTGGGGTGCAGTGTACTCGTCCTTTGATATATTTTCGGATATCTCGCCAGTGGGCGCCACAGGGGTAGCAAGTTGGCTTGCATCAATCCGAGATGAGACTTCTTCTGTAGTATGGTTCCATAAATTTATGTTTTATCATTTGAAGTGTTTCTGATGATGCTGCTGAATGTACATATAAATATCAAGTAAGCTTCGGAGGGTACACAGTTTTGTTTAGTGACTTCCTTATAACCTATGTTCCCACAAGGAAATCATGTGAATCATCCTAGTCCCATATAACTTCTTTTTTGCCACTATGATACCTCAGAAACATCAGCGATTCATATTACTAAGATATTTTGTTTACAAATGAAGTATTTTTTTGGCTATAAAAGAAAAGGATTGTGTGTGTAGAACAGATATTTCATCAACTCTACAAAAACTTTCACTAGTTTGCAGATTCATCATCTAGCTTGCATTTATTTCACGTATTTCCGAACTTCGTTCCATCACATTAGAGATTCTCACATGAAGTGTTCAAATTCTGTGATACATACTATCAATCTGCAAAACATATTTATCTCTTTCATGAACTGCAGCAGTCAAATCACAATGTACATAGCCCAAAACCATATCGCTTCGCAATAACCAGAAATTTACGTTATAACTGTTAAAAGGTCTACCGAACACCTATTTTGTGTGCATGTTATACTAACTACTCAAATGAAAACTGATAAATCCTTCATTGTACAATCACTTTAAGATAATATAGCCTTCATCAATCACCAAGAGGAGTAAGAATGTCGGGATTATTCACATTAATATGCTTTCTGATATCTTTGTTTTGAACACACAGAAATCCCTTCTAACAGGTAGATGTTTTTTATAAACAATGATAGCGGTCATTCACCTCTTCTGGGCTCTTCGAATAATGTAGCATTATGATAGGGGTCTTTGAGAATAAACAGTGACACAGCCTCTGTCGGGTTGATATTTTGAAGATCGCAGACAGTTTATTGTTTATTCTAACTAACAAAGTTAATTTGAGGTTGCGTGTATGTCTGTTAAAAATATGAACCAACGCGAAATGATACTACTGAGCTGCTGTCTGAAACGACTTGCTTCTTCTAGCTGAATGAGACAACTTATACAACTGGCTAATCATATCTTTAGGAAATGGGTATTCAGTGTTTGAGTCATTGTAATCTGATTAATGGGACATATTGATTATCGGTATGACTAGTTTCTTACTACTAAATTCATTTAATAGTATATTCTATTCCGTCTTTAGATTAGACGCCACAATATTTCCTCTAGATTGAGTGGTTTCTAATGGAAACCGTGTCATGACCACAGATGAGTAGTTGAGAACCTTACTAATCGTAGGAAATTTCGACCTGAAGTGTACAAACACCAAGCAACTTGCAAACCATTCACCACATGGAACCAGGAATCACAGCAAAATCAAACTCTGGTATTCGTGATTAAAATTTTAGTCAACTTATTACTTTTTTATGTGAATGGAGTCTAACATTTTGGATATATTTCACACTAATATGAACCAATTAAGAAGCAGAATAAATTTTCGGTCAGTTAAATGATTTGATTAAATTTTCTTTTGCAGTTTGCTTAAAAATACAAGATGATTCAGCAAAGTACCCCGATGTTCTTATCGACTTGACACTACCATCGGAATCCAGCTGTGTGATTCAAAAACTGGCTCATCAACTTGACGCTGGGGTTATCTCACTCCATCATTTCAGTTGCCCACCAATAATCTTGGATCTGTCCCTTCCAAATGGATCACATGTTATCAGAGAGTTGAATTTACCTTCAGTTAAATTTCAACCAAATGCATTGTCTTCTGCACTGTCTGCATTCGGAAATTTGATTGCCGGTCCACTTAGAACGGAGACCATTGTTAAAACGAATGATGCTACCGGTATGTTATAAATTATACCATAGTATGTCATTTGAATTTTCCAAAAAGTCTTCGTATACTTTTGTTGCCGTCATAGTTTTTTTTCCCAACAACTTAGTTAAGACTAATTGACATGAGTTTATAGCTTCCATTGAAATAGAGGTTCAAGCAGTTTGTTTCCTGTGAAAGTTTCGTAAATGCGTATAATTATGTCGTTACCAGTAATGTCCCGTCTTTGGTTGAAGCGAGATGATCGGTCTCTCTTGATATATGGGCTCCTTCACTGATGCCTCAGTACCACCTTTTTTAATTTTATGCTAATGATAGATAGTGGTTGGCAGTTAAATCCAATATACTCATTTCTTCTTATTTGGGACTAGTCAGTGGGGTGTACCTGCCCCACAGTGAGCGATGTTGTTCCCATATATCAACAGAGACCGATCAACTGGGACGAATCAACGATGGGATAATACAAGTGTCAAAATAAAAACGATACTCATCGCACAAAAGGTAGCTATCATGGTTTGATAACCTTGTGAATAACTCTGTGGTATTCGGAGAGATGTACTCCAAGTTCAAATCTGAGTGGGGGAAATATAACTTGCCTGGAGGCAGGTACGTCTGGCTGACGAGTCCTAAGCGGGACAAAACGTGCATCCTAAATTCCACTGCCAGCCTCAAAAAACCTGAAAATAATTTCTCATAGTCGGTCACTTCGACACCGCATATGCAAGTGATATAACCCCGTAAAAGTATGATAGACTACGTAATAAAATCAAGCGAATACCTTTGCACTTCATTAATTGGCAAGTATCGTGCTACCTTGTGTTTATAATACCATAGAACATCATTAGTTTACATTATGCCTACCTTCTACAACAGTAATTAGCACTTCTCCAGTATATGCTAAGCACCTCACAATAAGCCATTCGTTACATCCCCACCATTTGCACCTCATTTCGAAGCTGAAATTTGGAAAAATCTACTTACATGAGGATCTTCTGCCCAACACCAGTAAACTTCATGAATGCACACTGCTAAGGAGCCAGGAAATGAGACGACACAGCTGTCTAGTACCATACATATTATTGTTGCGTTTATAATACTTCTGCTTGTTCTCTAGGTCGTTCCAAAATGTCGCTGAGGAAGATGAAACAGTTTCACAATCATATACACTGCTTTGTAAAAATAGTCGAATTGACGTGGCTATAGCGAAACATCTTTTTACTCCAGACTTATGAAAACATGACGCTTTTAATTTTCTACAGGTTAACGACATCGCATCAAACAAGTAAACGCCAAATTCTTCTGCGAGCAACAGGCGCTAAAGCATTGAATATTTACGACATCACACACTGTTTTGTATAAGTAAAACAATTATATAGGTATTCATTCATAACCTGAACAGTTTACTACTATGACGACGCCAATGATTTTGAATCTTTCAGACAACCTGAAATTCTTCATGATTTTAAATACATCTAACTCATGACTGGCAGTCGATGCAAATTGTGGTCATGCCCTACCTCTTTGTCTTCAAGCATAAAAAGAGAAATTTCTATTAAACGACTAATCACATTAGCATTAAAAATGCATCTAAAGCAAATTTTGTAAACACTTGACAACGACTGAATAGCATTTTCGTCTTGGCATAGGGCTTCTCAACAGTACGTACCCACGACCCCACTAGGAATGGAACTCAAGACATTCAAGTCCTGTGGAGAACGCTTTAGCCACTCAGTCACTGGTTTAGAGTTCAATGATCCTCTTTCCTACTTCTGTCAATTCGCGATATAATGCGACTACCACTATCCACAAGGGTTTCAGATGGCATCCGTTTCCCTTCGAACTAGTTGGCCGCACACGTTATGGCTTCTCATTACAATTCGAGGTATGCTTCTGGAAGCATGTCACTAGTGTTCACTAGTGAATCCACTATGCAGTAAATTACTATGAGTTTAATAGAGATTTTATTTTCGAGGTAGTATTTTCCAACTGGTTTCAATCCTTGATGAATACTACCAACATAGGTGGGAAAGTGGGGACCACCCAATCCTGACCCAGTGACTGAATGTTTAAAACATTCACCTTGAGACCTGAAGGCCTTGAGATCGGTCCCAAGTGGGGGCGTGGGTGAGTATTGTTAAGCAATCCCATACTAAGACGAGTAAGATAATCTTAGAAAGAGACTGTCAAAGTCGATAAACAAAACATTCTTTACCGCTAACCTTAGGATTATATTCTCCTGTCCAAAACTCATTTGTCAGTAAGTAAAAGGTAAGCTGGAGCTTTTGGCCCACATCACTGTATATGTACCACTTTTAATTGTGCCTGTGGAACCGAGTACATCAGCGATGCCATGCACCAGCCTATGCATTGCACTTTCTGGCACTATCCAACCTGGCTGCCAAGGGATAACGGAAATGAATCCTCGGCCTCTTGACAGAACACTTAGTAAACTCAGGACATTCGGCTCCTTTTGATAAATCCTTTAACATCTTGTGCAAAGTGTTACCAAGGTGTGAGGCGATGACACCTGAGGTTAGCTGAAGCATTAGGCATTCAACATTTCAAATCGTAATAATACGTTCTAAAGAAGCCTGTACAACCTCTTTCGTTGTCATGGTCCTTGTAGAGAATCGATCCCTCCAAATAATTTCCACACGACGTAACTATTTTTATTTCCTATTCATTTTGTTTATTTTTTCATTTTAATATGCTTATAGATATTGCAAATTGAGACTCATCATGGACTGACAGTCGGAGAAACATTCGAAACCTGGTACCACTGGACAGCTGTTCCGTCTTAGTATTGGATCCTTCAGCAGTGCGCACACATGACCCCCTCCCTGCCAGGGATCGAACTCAGGGTCTTCAGGTTCCACGGACAACACGTAACCACTGAGCCACTGCGTCTGAGTTCACTGGTCCATATTTGTGACTTCTATCAGTTCACGATATAGCGCCATTTCGATCCAGTTCCGTCTTTGAGTAACTGTTCTCATGTTTGACATTACTTGACCTTCCTTCGTCATGCAACTTGTGCTGAAGTTCGACCGTAAATTACTCTGGAATGGTCTATCTTTTCTACCATATATTCACCAGTGTACGGCTAGGAGAATGACTTCGTCGAAAAGAAAAGTCTTTTCTTGCTGCAACGTCTTCTGTCTTTTCCTATAGTCAAATATCTGTTTTAATATTTTAATATTACATTCCTTCCATGAAACATTGCATCACTCAAAGACAAATTTAAGCATTGTACCAAAGAGCTATTCACATTAGGAATACCCTCTGTAGATACGAAATTCAGGCATAAACTGGTCATAAAATGGTAACCGATATAAATACCAAGGCCTTATTACTCAGATCTCAAAGAAGTATTCTAATGAGATTCATTTATTCCATTATTTTTGGGAAATTCGGTAAAATAAAGTTACCAATGAAAGGACATGAAAAGAAAAAGGAGATATCGAAAGAGTAACAGAATGCTCTGGAAATTGTTCTTACAAAATGTATCCACAGAATTCTTAACAGTTTTCATCTCGGTTTTGGAGACAGAAAACAATGTGAAGCTACAATATGATTGTCATAGGTTTGTGTTCTGAGTTATATTTGATATCATCTAAAAGCTCTGAACTGCATGATTTCTTGATCCTCAATCAGAAAGTTGTGATGCACCAAGAGTTGCTAACCTAGCAAAACCATCTTTCACCCCACTGTTCTACGTCATGGTCTAATCAGTTTGCTTTTAGCATAAACACTGCGAACTGTTTAGTAGTATTCAACAGGTTTCAGTCAGTAGCCAACACTGAGGACCTGACAGTAACTCTGGTTTTGGTCTAGATTCTGACTGGAAACTAAAAAGAAATAACTGGAATTTCTGTTCATGGATGGGAAGCCGTGTAAGACACCAAATTTACATTTGCAACGTAAGATGGCATTTGTTTTCAAGTCATTTATCTGCAAGTGATGTCAAACGTTGGTTTTTATTATGCGCTGGGTATACCAGAAATGCTGGTTACTTGTTTTCTTTCTTCCTAAATTTCAGGCTCACAAATCATGTTTTCAGATTATCTTGAATATCCATCTGTTGGACGATTTTATGTTACAGTATTGGAAGGCATAAATCAGTCACAAATACAGAGATTACTAGAAGATGTAAAAGATGTGGCATTGAATAAGTTATGGATATTGCTTGTGGATGGAAGGACTGCACGAAATATGATCAGCATTGCAGCTAAACTTCATGAAAATGATTCCCAACATTGGCTGTTTTATGAACAACATACTAACTGTTCATTCATCTGTCATACAAATCCAATAACTAATGTAACAGACTGTTTGGCGAATGCTAACACAAGTAAAGTGTATTGTATGAAGGCCAGTTTAGATGGTGCAAATCAAAACGAGGTAAATATGATAAAAAGCCTTTATGGAAACAGATGGAATAATGAAACTTTTAAACAGGTTAGTGAAAATTTGTTGCAAAATTACACGGTAATTGTTATCTACTAGCTAATTCTAATGGCTAAACTATTTAAGTCACACTACTAATATTATCAATAACAAATTTGTTTTCGACGATATCATTCTCAAAGTTGTACGACTGCATTCAAGTATAACTAGTATGTACACCAAATACCAAACAATGTGAATAAGGTTTGCAAAAGGGAAGTATTCCCTTGTGGATTATGGCCAGCAAAACAACATGGGAATAAAAGTCACATAGAAGTTATTAAAATATTTTATAAGTAGAGTCATTCATTAGGTTTTCCCTCTCTGGTAGGGATAAAGGCAGTACAAATTTCTTCTGAATACACAGTTTCGGAATGTTCATTCGAATACCTATTGCCTCAGTTATATGTAAAAGGCTAGTTCGAACTTCATCGGAAAGGTTCGAAAAAATGCGGCGAATCACTTTGGACGTTTTCGCCTTATTCACTCAGCTGAATGCGACGAAACAGAGCCTCTTATAGATTCAACCAGTCTTTTTCCCAGCCACAAAGGCAAGTGTTCAGTAATACGTTTGTTAATTTGTCCAGTCGTACGCTCGATATAGTTGTCTCCATAGGAGCCAGCGATTAAATTGGCTAATACACATGGAAGTGGTGAAACTAGGTAACCTGTCCTTCCTTTGGCAGGAAGCAAGTTATCGACTAGAAAATGGTAGACAGAGATTAGTTGCATAAAAAGTTCTTTTAATAGTTCGCAACAGTCTGGGAAATACGATCTCACTAAGTACGTTTCTATTAAATTGTAGCTTTATGAACAGCTGTTTCTTTCGAACAGTTTCTACTTCAGGTCTTTTCTCTGATCTCTTTATAAGCTCTTTTATAAATTTTGGGGATTAACTATTCCAACCAATGTATTCGAAATACACTCTAACTCAATCTGTAGAGTGTCGTCTGAGCAGATTTTCCTTTCTCTGGCTGTCAAACATTTCACTAAATTTCTTTTATACCGTATAGGTGTTGAACTACAGAAGTGTGTTTTTACACGTAGACTTGCTTTTTCTGTACACATTTCTGCAAAGTGGGCCATTTCCTCCTCTATTTAATAGAACATGAAGAAAATCCAGCTCATTATCCTGTTTTTCTTCGCAAACGAATGGTGTATGTTGTTGGAATTTCTCAATAGTTCTTATGTATTCATATTCTGAACACTGATAATGAACATGTCATCCGTATATCGATAATACATATCTAGCTTGTTGATGTCATCTTTCAATGGTTCATTTTCTAGTTTTTTTCAAAAGAAGTCTGTAGGGTCGGGCTTAATGGCTAGCCCATTAAGATTTCATCCACTTGTCTATAACATGGACTATTGAAGTATACATTTAATGTACAATTACTTAAAGTTAGACTCAGGGATTCCAACTCTGACATATGAATTCCACTGTCTCAGTTAGTGGCATTTCGGTGAATAATGACGACACATCATTCTCCAGTATTAGGGAACATTCTATCCTTTTTCAAGCTTCCTTATACCTTGTCTGCTTGGTAAATACACGTTGACGTCGCCATTTCATTCTGAACATTCGATTTATAATTTATAAAACCACTAATCTCATTATTCTAAAGTACACAATCCGTATCCCAGCTATCGTTGACTATCAAAATGTTTGACATTGTGATAAATAATTGTGGAATAACAGAAATGTGAGTTGAAATCAAGAATACCTGACAAAATGAGTGGAGAATTGTAATTACGGAAAGGAAAGAGTTGGAAACATTTTCCTCACAACAAAGAGTAAGTTCAAACAAGTGTTCGAGTGCAAGGAACCTACCTACATTCGAAATCATATTGAAAGCCTTCAATTCAAGGAAGCTGGTGATAGATGACCACAGTTCAAGTTGAACACACAGAACAGAAACTCAACTGAACTCAACTAAACTGAACCGAACTGAACTGAAGGACGAAACTACAAAGGACATCTTCATACCAGTCAAGCATCAGGACAAAATAGGAGAGATTGAGTATGGTCCCTGAAGAAACGTGGGTGGAAGAACACTGGAACTGTTTGAAAGCTATGTGGAAGGAGACCTGCTTGACCATGTTAGGAAGGAAGAAGAAACAAGACAAGACAAGACAAGACAAGACAAGACAAGACAAGACAAGACAAGACAAGACAAGGAATGAGATGGGATGGGATGGATCTCTACGGACACATGGAAGCTGATAGAGGAGGGAGAGGAATATGGTGATGGTGAAGCAGAAGATGAACCAATGCAGTGGAGTGGGGGATGAAGAAAGGAAAGGCGAACTGAACACAACTTACAAAACACTACACTGGACAAAGAAGTGAAGAAGAGTGGATGGAAATACAAAAGACACTTCTACAACACATTGGCAAGTGAAGTAGAACAGGCTGTGAGTGGGAGAGACAGAGATAGAGACCTGACAACATTATATCAAATAACCAGGTTACTGCTGTCTGGTAGGGAAGAGATGAACGGAGATTAGACGAATGAAAGATAGTGAAGGGAGGTTAGTTATCAAAGGAAGAGGAGAAACAAAGGAAACGATGGGTTGACCACTTCACAAAACTCTTGAGTCGACTGCCATCATCACCAGCAGCAGCAGCACAGCTACACAACTACCAGTGAACACAAGCCCTCCGACAAAATCCGGACTGAAGTCTTGAACGCCATAAAGGTACTGAAATCCGGGAAAGTTGCAGGACCAGATGGAATTCCAGTAGAAGAACTGAGAACAGACACAGAGACATCAGTAGCGGACATGTTCACACCACTAATGCAGAATGTTTGGAAGGAAGGAGGGAAGGAAGGAAAGATATCTGCTGACTGGTTGGAAGAAGAGCTACCTTGTCAAACCCGCAAACAAGGGAGACGTAAGTCTTTGCGAGAACGAGAACTGGCGCGAAATCATGCTGCCGTCCACCGAAAACAAGCAAAATATTGATCCGCATCATCCTGGAGAGGCTAACAAATGCGCTGGATTCAAAACTGTGACCGGAATAGTGTTGTTGGCTGGATGGCTGGCTATCTTCAGGAAGTTCAAATCATGTGTGGATCAAATTGTAAGGCTACACTACGCATCGTCATAGAACAGAGTATAGAATGACACTCAACTGGATCTTTACCTCAAGTTCATTAATTTTGAAAAGGCTTTGCCTCGATAGCGTCGACCGAGAAGTAATTTGGCAGGCAGCTGCTTCAACACTACGGTTTCAGTGCCACGAACATTTATCAACCTCATTCAACATCTGTATGCCATATGATGAGGTTTACATGCGAAGTGATTCACAATGGAAAGCTCATTGACGCCTTTGAAGTGAAGACAGGAAGGAAGGAGTAAGACAAGGCTGCTGCCTACTGTCGTCACCGATCATTTTCCTGATTGTGGTCGACTGGACTGAACTGGATGTTGCGAGAAACTATGAGGAGTTGTGAGAAGATGGGCATATGGTGGCTGGAGCGATGAAGAAAACAAGAGAAGAAGATTTTGATTTCGCCGCCACCAATGATGATATATGACTGTTGTCTTGTCGCACAAACTCGAAGATGCACAGACAACGACCAACAAGTTGACAGAAGAGGCGAGTCAGTGAAGACGGGACATCGTTCAAGTGAGTGTAGAGAAGATCCAGGTGATGAAGATACCCAACTGGGAACAACAATCACCAATCACCATCAACGAGAGAAATCTATCGGAGGTAGTCTGTTTCACCTACCTCGGGAGGCAGCATCGTTTCAACTGCAGATGGTGGTGGTGGTGGCGGTGGCGGTGGCACAGATGAGGATGTCAAAGCCGGGTTGGAAAAGGCAGCAAGACAGGCTTTCAATAATCTGAAACCAGAGTGGAGATCTACTGCACTGCACTCAGCATAAAGTGTGAACAATATCCGGATTTGAACACTAGTGCCAGTCAAGTAAATCAGTACTTGTATGTGATGGTTGAGAGACTTGGCGCGTGACGGAAAGCATTTCCAACAAACTGCAGACATACATGAACAGCTGCTGCTCACTGGCTCACTGGATACTGAAGATGAGATGGGCAGAATAAACAGAATAAGTAAGAAGGAACTCTGTCTGGCTGTCTGGCAACGAGCCAATGAAGCAAGAACCCATCGCCCAACAAATATGTAGAAGAAAGTGGAGATGGATTTGATTTGATTTGATTGTGCATAGACTGAGAAGACCGACTGGGGACACCACGTGCCAGACCAGGCGATCGATTGAATCCAAATGGTGAACGATGAGTTGGGGATTTGGGGTGATGGCGATATGGGGGAGATGATGTGAGTAAGAAATGAAAGTTTGTGTACAGTGATGCAGCCATGTTGAAAAGACTGGAGAGAAGAGAGTGTAATGGCTACGTGTAACTGTAGCTTTATGTTCCACTAGGAACCCAAGTGACAAATAATCATAATCATTATACTAATAATGACAATAATAATAATAATAATAATAATAATAATATAATAATAATAATAATAATAATGATTATGATTATGATTATTATTATTATTATAATCAGTAATGCAAATTAAAATGCTCCAGAGTACCTGACTTTTATTAGGACCTCGAGTGTTCTCTTTAGTGAAATTTACTCACAAAAATGTTATCAACATTTGCTACGCATAGATCTAATCAGCACAGTGTGGCATTGGTAACCATCTATTGACCAATCGGTATACAACTTTGCTTACCCAATGAAGTAACTAAATGCAGCGAATGGTAATATGGTACGAAGTGATAGACTAGTTAACTACTCGTTTCATTAAATATATCAATAAAAGTCATGCTGGAGTACTTCAACTAGACCTTTAAAGTGGTATGCGTAACAAGTCCCCACAGTATATTCTAAAAAGGACATAAATATTTTAGATGCGAAGATAATTTATTGTCCATAGTCATATCAAGATAACTACACTACTTTGAGATATCCTTCATATAGTCCTAACTTCTTCGCCTCCTTCATATGGATAGTAGGACTTACAACATATCCATAGCAGGTACTGAATCATTCCCCTTGCATGTATTAGGTGTTGATTCGATAAACAACAATTCAGTTATCAATCTCCCCCTCCACTCTGCTGTGTTAGTTATAAGCATTTAAACCATATCCCATCCTATTGTGTTGTTCTGTGTAATTTCCTGCATAATTACAACTGAGCTTTTTTCTAGTTCCCCTGTATTACTAGTTACTATCTATCAGTTTAGACCTAACTAGGATTTTGTGCTCGGATAGCCTAATTTACTCTGATGGAATATTTTAACCTATGTATTTGACACCACAATCATTGCATGGGATTCAGTAAAATAAATTATTCCGCTTAGTTGAATCAATAGGATCTCTGAACCTACAAACTTATTTCTCAGTGAGCTTGTAGGTTTAAATGCCACTCTAATCTCAGCCTTATTAAGAATTCTACATGTCTCTGAGATGCTTTCTTTGTATGGTGATACTGTTAAGTTTTTGAATTCTCTTTTCACAGTGTTGTCGCTATTATTACAGATACTGGGTCACAGCAAGATTCGAACCAGCACCCACTGAGATTCTTTGCTCGATGCTCTACATTAATCATTAACACGATTCGATTGTCAGGGTTTTCCATAGACACTAGTGTCTAAACTCCCTTCTTGGTTTCGTTTTATTCTACAATCCAAGATCATTCCATCCCCTTCACTGTATCCTGATTCATAAATGAGTTCGACTGTGTTGACTTTTGAATCAATATTTGTAAAGAAACAGTGTATATGCTCTGATTTCAACACCGTAAACGTGTCATTTACACATGCAAAGTACACTTCTGGAACCAGACTACACATTTCCACAAACATCCATTCTCAACTATGCATAAAAATGTCTGCCATGATAGGGTATATTCCAGTAAATAATACTGTTTCACTATCTGATACATTTAATACACCAACTCAAATGGAATTACATTCTACCACAGTGCCCCAGTTTTACTCTTTTTTTTAGAGATGTCTTCTTAAATACTCAGGGAAGATTTAAGTCAACCGACTGGTGAGAAATATCCTCTTCAGTAGACTATTGACAAATACTATTCATTAAATATGGGAAAATAGTTACACTAACCTTTCTATTGAAGTTGGGCACCAAAAAGTTGTTATGCTAGGATTAATGTACTTTGTTATTCAAACAAACTATGTTTCTCTTAGATTCTGCCAATTCTGCTGTGTATTGAGTATGATTATAAATATATATTAAACAATGCATAGATCATTGTATTCGGTAGATTTTTAAGAATGAATTCCATTTGACTATAAAACGTCACTTCAGGATTAAAATTTCGATTTTTTGTTAACTTGCTCTGAAAATCTTGATGACTAATTAACTTGCAAAGTAGCCTTCAGTAATAAAACTCACATATCGAGCATTCATTAGACTGAAACAAATGATTAGTTTATCAGTTTTTAATATTACATTCAGAAAATCTTCAACCGATAACTCCGTCCTTACTAATATATGCATGGGTTCAGTGTTACTTCAATCTTCAGTACTAAGTGTTTCCTGATGACTTGATCTATTGTTAGAAATATTTAATTAGTATCAGCTTACAGAAAATTACTTTCAGTCAACTGATCGGGAGCATCTAGCCTTTTTCACAACGGAGGTGTTTGTTAATTTCAACTATCTGAGTTTTCAGCTACCTTTTACATTAAGACTATTTAGAGATGTTGACAGATGATAGATTTTTATTGGAAAGTTTTCCTAAAATTACATATGAACTCATGAAATTTATTCATAGTATATTTGTACAGTAAAAATTTATCTTGTAAATTCATACTTTTCTTTCCTATTTTAATTTGAAATGAAACTGGAAATTGATAGTTTGACGTATTGAGTTCATATGAAACTATCATATCAGGAATGATGGCGCTTGATTCATTATTAATCAATAATCGGTGGCCAGAAAGTTTAAAATCATCAAATTCATCTTTGAAAATTTGTAATCTGCCTAGACAGACTATAAATTCATCTACAAGATTCTATCTTTTTGCAGAAGCTGTGACTATGGTAAGTTGCTTGTATTACCTATCCTAGATATGCTTTCAGAGTGTAATTTGTCATATGAAAATGTTGCTGATCCGATTGTCTAAAATAGTCTAGTTTGTTGGGATGGTTTTATTGCGGGAGAGTGATGACTGGATTTCAACAGAATTCTGGCCTAAAGTAGGATTCGAAACAGTGGCCTATGGAATAATCAGACGGAGCTTAACTTGTCCAGCTGAACGCTTCAGCTATTAACCAGGTTTTTATTTGGGCTTCACTACCGAAAGTTTTACCCGGTTATTTCAGCAAACCAATAAGCATATCCAACCCAATACTCTACTTTTTAAATTCGGCATGGCTGGGTATTAGCGTTGACAACAGACAACGAAATATTGATCACTTATCCACAGGAAATTCTTAAATAAGGTTGAAGAATGCTTAACAACTGAGTCTTGCAGCTGAGTCTATAAGACATTAAGCTGATAGTTCAAATTCTGTGGTACCGCAGACTTTTCTTCAACTTCAGTCATCACTGTTACACACATCTGTCAACTGTTCCATTAGCAACCTATATTTATATGAAACTGCTTACAAGCTTTGTATGAATTCAAGCGTAGTACAAATTGACTTCTTACCGATGTATTCACAAATAAGCTCTGGCAAAAAACTCATGTCAAGTTTAATAAAATGTTCACAAAGTTACACTACAGCGATAGGTATGGGATTCGAGTCCCAGTGGGAACACTGGGAAGCTGTTATATCTTCGTGCGCCAACGGCTAAATATATTCCGAATAAATAGAATACGCACGCTTAGCTGACAGCCAACTTAGTACGCAAGAGGCACTGACTGCAACTCCGGGGCGAATAGAGAGAAGACCGAAGCTGGCAGATGGGAGAGTTTGTAACTCCGAAAGTATAATCATCAATCAATCCAAAACACGTGAATAAGCATACAATAAACATGACCTTGTCCGCAATTGGAGAAATTCTCATAGTAAGAGTAAAAGTTAACCAATCAGCGAATTACATTACGATGGGGGCAGAAATTAAACTACTAGTCAAACTGTAAAATGGTGTGAGAATGCCAAGTTAAAAATGTTCAGACAGATAACAGTGTTTTACACAAAACTGGAGCCTTATAACAGAAGCAAATGCTTCCAACTGAGGAATCCCAAATAGGACGAAACACGCGTCTTGAATTTCACTGCTAACCACGACCTAGTAAGTCATAAATAAAGGATAATAGTCAATAATTCATATTTCGCATTAATTATTAAAAAATCAGGAAAGAAGTGAAAATGAAATGCTCGTTACATGACTGAATGTGTCAAACTAATAAGTTTGTAGTTCAACTTTGAAAACAAGAAGGAGAGTTTCATTCTTTACTGAATTAAACAGTTTATTTTATTTAGTTACAGTTGTTTGGGATAAGTGAATTGGTGGCCATAGAAAGGTTAGTATACTTACTGAAGCACTTTTAGATGAGTGCAGTTAACTCAACACGGCTAGAAAAAAAGTCTACACCATCTTAAACAATATTAAGATAAATATTCCTATTCTTTTTACCTCTGAACACCCGATTTAGCGTTCAGGACAGAATTAAGAGTCTTGTCAGTACTTATTTTGTTGAATAAATATTTTTTCTACTCTAATCTACACTTATCCAGCTTCCTAAAAGAAATGGTACTACCGGACTGATTGATTTCAATAAAACGGTAACTAATCAGCATGTCACTTTTCAGTTGGAAGAATGTTTTGGTAAATCTAGTTTATCAGAAGCTCATTGTCATGAACTAGTAAGTTATCTTCCGTTTTCTGACTGTTCATTAAATTTAGAAATAATTTTCAAGAAGTACTGTAAAGCTTTTGATAGAGTGAATAGCAGTTTCATCCTAGTTCGCGTCTTTAGTTATCTTTTTTACAAACAGTACATAATTACTGAGTTATACCATTGCCATTAAATTGTTTTAGTCGTTTTGAGTGTTTGGGGCATAGTTGCCTTCCATGAAGGAATAACCTTTTTTGCAAATAAACGAGTCAGCATCGAAATATTGACTCTTAAATAAATCTTTGATGTATTTACCTATTAATGGTTTGCTACAAAAGAGCGGTAGAATGTCCCTAAATTTTGTTCTTCACTGTCTCTTAACATGGTATTCACTATGATGGTGGGCAGAAAAACGTCAATGATAAACACATCAAGAAATGACACCAGTTCGTAAAACTGGTAATTAACTCTATAAATACTGTTTGAAAATGCAGGTCGCTAAATTCCAGTAATAACTCATTTTTACCGGGTGATGATTGAAGGTGAAATGAAAATTTGGACCACTGTGGCATTCAAAGCAGTAACCACCGAGTACTAGTATGTCATACTACGGCTATCTCAGATAGTCAGAACGATAACTAATATGACGCTCTTCCTCTCTAATTCAGTTTGATTTAGATTGGGATGAGAAGTCCTGACTGGGCAGCCAGTGTCAGTAAGATCGAGAGGTAGTAACACATCAGGAATTCACATGGTAGTCGACCAAAATCCTTGGTGATTGAAGTGAAATAAAAATCTGGTCAGCATTTGAGTCTCGTAGTAGGTAGTTAGTGGATCATCGGGCCGAAAACCTAGTGGTCGCTGGTTTGAATCCGACCACGGTCCGAATTTTCATTTCACCTTTGATCATTATTCAGTATAAATGCTAGTCTGCAAAACCACGGCTATCTCGGACAGTCAAAATGATATCTGATTTTGACGTTGTCATTCAGATAAATATTTTCTGAAAAGATGTTTAGTATTAAACAGATAATCTTGGTGTTTAATGCACATGGTAAAGTTTATGGTCGACCACCTTCATGATATGATAATGAATAGTCAATTATTATGATCTCCAGTCTTATACATTCCTCATCGATTTCAGTTAAAATCTGACTTTTACAATACGTAGGACAGTGAACTAGATATAGTTACAGAGCACAGATTTGCCGATTCCTAGGTACTTTAAAGGTAAGTCTGAATTACATAAACAATGGTTATCAATGATCTATAGTGATTGGTACTCAGTGTTTTATCGACTAGTCAACACTCTGTCTCGAATAAACATTTTCTTTGGATCTATTGTCTTCATCACTCACGTCGATGTCAAAATATAGAAAACAGATTAAGTGGACTTTTCTAGTTGGTTTTTGGAAACAGTTTACTTGACTTTTAAGTATAGTATTTGTAACTAAAACATGTTTAGTTGGCTGAATCCTTCTTACTGGTCTAGTGATGCCAGCCAGTGGCTTTATGTAGTCGTCAGAAAAGAAAGATTTATAGAAAAGTAACTTTTAACTTAATTAGTAACCGTCCAGTAATGTGCTTTTGGCGTTAACCGAGATATTTGAAATCTAGTGTGAATATCTATTGATCCTTACTGGGATAGCAGACCTACAACTCAGAGATCACTTCATGTCCAAACGGAATTTAAACGTTAATGTTGGATAGTGGCTGGCAGTAGGATCCAGGACGCGGGTTTCGTCCTATTTGGGACTCGTCAGCTGGAAGTACCTGCCTCTTAATGAATGACGTTGTCCCAACCGGGACTTGAACTCAGGATTTAAATGTGTCATTTTGGTGTGACATTGAATATTTTCAATAATAAGTTGTCTAGGTGGACGATAACTATCTTGTTGGACTGAAATTCGTGCAATGATAAGTGACTGCAGGTAATCAGTATCACTTTTGAACGTCAGGACCAGGCTGGTAATAACTGAGACAATGAATGAAACGTTTTCGAACCTTTCAGCGACTTCCTATCTCCCTGGAGTTACAAACCGACCAAAGTGAATATTTCTTAGGGATTAAGAATCTAAGTCTCACAGTTACTGCTAGTTATCATCAAAAATCTCAAGTATAGTCCAATGAATTGTACAAATTTTTTAAATCCGACTGATAAACTAACACTTTTAGTTCTGCAAGCTCTTGGCGACAGTACCCTTATGGCAGATTCTAGCAATAGGTTTACTTGAGGTTATATAATTCACAAGTCAGTTAAAATAACCGATTCAGTGAACAGAGTTGAATAGTTTGCATAGGTATAACTGGGAGTATGAGGAAAATATTACAAAGTAGTAAAACCAATTACTTTCTTTGCTGCTGATGCTTATAAACATAATATATAGGCCCAGGTAGCATACTATCACACAATGAAATGAATGCCTACCGTCTAGAATACCCACAAAGCTTATTATTGAATAAATGATACAGGATTTCAAATTAAACAGATTAATAGCCCTACTAGTTGTATAGAATGCTTATAACTTCATTGCTATTAATCGAAATCAATAACATGCAACTGAACAGACAAATGCAACTCTAATTTTTGTACAATTTGTTCTGATTGCAGAATTATAGCTTCATATATCCCGAAAGTTTATTATAAACGTCAGGAACCTAACTGCACCGAAACCTCGTCAAGTGCTTCATGTCAGTGTTTTGCACGTAAGAATATAACATGTCTTTAATGAGTATAAGTTGACTCATTTTCATATTTATTATTATTATTTATTAGTCCCTTGGGTTCCTAATGGAACATAGGGCTTCACTAGCACGTCTCCATTGCATTATGTTCTCTGCAATCTTTTGAACCTGGCTCCACGACTGACCACAAGCCCTCATTTTTTCCTCACACCATCTCCTCCATGTCACCCTCACCTTGGACGCCCAACTCGTCACTTCCCACCTGGGTTCCACTCGGGTGCCTGACGTGTGATGTCCCCAGTCGGCCTTCTCAGTGTATGCCCAATACATCTCCACTTCCTTCTGCATATTATTTTACCGATAGGTTCTTGGTTAGTTCGTTGAGAGCCAGAGTTCCTTGTTGCTTATTCCTATTATTCTGGCCGTCTGATCTTCAGTAGCGAGCGTAAGCAGTTGTTGATGATGTCTGTAGTTTGTTGGAAATCCCTTTCGTAACGCGCCAAGTCTCTGAACCATACAGCAGTACTGTCTCGACATTGATGTTGAAAATCCGAATCTTGTTCTTTGTGCTTAGTACAGAAGATCTCCACACTGGTTTCAGGTTAATGAACGCCTGTCTTGCTTTTCCGATTCTGACTTTATCATCTTCGTCTGTGCCACCTGTAGTTGAAACAGTGCTGCCTAGAAAGGTGAAAGAGGTTACTTCCTTTAAGTTTTTCCCGTTGATGGTGACTGGAGTTTGTTGTTGTTGGTTGGGTATCTTCATAACCTCTGTCTTCTGTACGTTCACTTGAAGTCCTGTCTTCGCTGCCCTACCTCTTCTGCCAACTTGTTAGTTTTCGCCTGTAGATCTTCGAGTGTGTGTGACATCAGACACAAGTCATCGGCGAAATCCAGATCCGCTGGGTTCTTTTCCGCAGTCCAGCGTATCTCCCTCTTCTCACAGCTCCCCACTGTTTGCTGCATGATCCAGTCCACCACAATCAGGAATATCATGGGGGATAGAAGACAACCTTGTTTCACTCCTGTCTTCACTTCAAAATCATCACTGAGCTTCCCATTAAGAATTACTTGGCATGTGGCGTCTTCATATAGTTGTTGAATGAGATTGACAAATGTTTGCGGTATTCCGTAGTATTGAAACAGCTTTTAACTTACCTCTCGGTCGACACTGTCAAAGAACTTCTCAAAGTCGATAAAGTTGAGGTAGAGAGTTGACTTCCATTCTATACTCTGTGCTATGGTGATGCGAAGGGTTGCAGTTTGGTCCACACATGATTTGTACTTCCTGAATCCAGCCAGCCTGTTCCGGTCGTAGTTTTGAATCTAGCGCATCCTTTAGCCTCTCCAGGATGATGCGGCTTAATATTTCGCTTGCTGTGGGTGGACAGGAGAGTGATTCCGCGCCAGTTCTTGCAAACACTCAGGTCTCCCTTCTTCTGGAGTTTGACAAGATAACCCTTCTTCCAATCACTAGCCAGGTACCTTCTCTTCCTTCCACACCTTCTGCAATAGTGGTGTGAGCATGTCCGCTCTTGTCTCTGCGTCTGTTTTCAGCGCTTCTGGCGGAATTCCATCTGGTCCTGCTGCTTTCCCGAATTTCAGTAGCTTTTTGGCATTCAGGACTTCCACTTTTGTTGGAGGATTTGTGTTCACTTGTAGTTCAGCGGCTGCAGGTGGTATTTCTGGACGAAGTGCAGGTGGTGGTCGATTCAAGAGCTTCTTGAAGTGGTCGGCCCATCGTTTCCTCTGTTTCTCTTCTTTCGTAATTAAATTTCCTTCTTCATCTTTCATTGGTTTCATCTGTGTTGGTCTCTTCCCTGATAGCAACCTGGTTATTTGATACAATGTTGTCAGGTCTCTCTTGCCTGCAGCCTGTTCTGCTTCACTTGCCAGTGTTTCGTAGAAGTGTCTTTTGTCTTTCCGTGCACTCTTCTCCACTTCTTTATCCAGTGTTTTATACATTGTGCCCAGTTCCTCTTGTCGTTGAGCATCCATGCACTGGTTTATCTTCTGCTACACCATCCTCCTCTCCTCTATCAGCTTCCAGGTATCCGTCGAGATCCATTCCTTGTCTTCTTTCTTCTTCCTTTCTAATACGGATGTGCAGGTTTCTTTCCACATCTCTTTCAAAGACTTCCAGTGTTCTTCAGGGATGTTGCTCGATGTCTCCCATTTTGTCTTGATGGCTGACGTGAAGATTTACTTTGTAGTTTCATCCTTCAGTTTCCATTCTGGGTGTTGTACTTAAACCGCGGTCTATCACCAGCATCATTGAAGGCTTGTAACTTGATCTGAAGGGTTCCTTGCAGTGGATAGATAGTGAGTGGTGTGAACCTACATGTGCTCCTCTTCTTGGCCTTGTGTCAAGTAGACTGCGTCTCCATTTTCTTGAGATTGAGATAAAGTCGATTTGATTTTTAGTGTGTTTATCTGGTGTCTGGTGAAATCCATGTCGCTTTGTGGATATCCTTGTGCTTGAACACACTGCCTCACTGCAATCACCAAATCGTTGAGTGCGCAGAATTCTGTAAAACAATTCTCCATTCTCATTCATTTCATTGAGTGCTTCTCGACCCATGGTTAGTTCTCTTCCCGTGTTGTCTGCTCCCAGTTTGGCATTCATGTCGCCTATTAGAATTTTGATATCGCCAACTGGCGTCTTGTCCAGTGTTGATTGAAGTTGTCTGTAGAATTCCTCCTTCTTCCCTTCATCTGCATTATTTGTAGGTGCATAGCATTGTATGATTGTGACCTTTCTTCCTTTTGAGTTGAATCTTGCTGTGATGATCCTGCATGAGGAGATTGGTTCCCACTGCATGAGAGCCTTCGATGCTCTTGAGGACATCATGATAACCACTCCCTCAGTGTGCTGGTGGTTGTCGTCTGGGTGACAATATTGGAGTAGATTATTGATTCTCCAGTTGACAGTTTGGAGAGTCCACTCCCATTCCATCTGCTTTCACATATTCCAAGCACTTCAATGTGATACCTCTTCATCTCGTATGCAATCTGAGCTGCGTTGCTGGGTTCAAACATGGTGTGGACATTCCATGTCCTCATGTTTACTTTCGCTTTGATCGAGAGAAGACACATCGGCCAATTGGCTTCCCGAAGGCAGGCTTTCACCAACTGGCGTCATTTCGCCTCTCCGATTCCAGCGGGGAATAAGTTTGTTTTCATTTTTTATATTTTGTTTGTGCTTTGAAGTTTCTTTAGCGGTTAGATTTGTTTTAGGGGGTAGGGTTGCTAGCCCTATGCCCAACCTTCCCTCTTTACCCGGGCTTAGGACCGGCTAGTTACTAGTGAACTAGTTGACCAGGCGAGGCGACTTATTTTCACACGCCTGGCTAATAGCAACATGGCTAATCTGCTAGTATACATAAATCCTTTCATGTTGCACGCTAATTTGTGTCGGCTGAATAATCCTTCAGCTCTGTTTTAATCAAAGATAATGGATGAAGCCAACAGAATACTGTTTATCAAAATCTACATAACATTCAAACTTGCACAGCCTTGTAGAATCCACTTATTTCGGTTACATAAAATGAACTCACTTCACTGTTGGCTGGATAGCTCAAAGTACTCATAAATTTAAACACAAATTACTGGTTTAAACCTCTTGAGGGCTAATACCTCAACAAACTTTAAAATACTTCTCCAATGAGTTTTATACATGGGCTTAAATGAGGTTTTTATACTCATTTTATGGAGCATAAAGTTGATAAGTGAACGTAGAGGGGACAGAACAATGTGAAATGATGTCTACTTTATCCTCAAAAAGACTTATCAAGTTAACGTACATTGGTGATGTGAATAGCTTGAAAGTCAAAGAATGACATTTTACGTGGTTACATTTTCATGCATAACTTTTTAATCTCAGTTTCTTTACCTTAAAACACTCACTTCTTTTATTTACTAACAATGCTAAATTTACGTTTGAAAGTGAAGATTATCTTCTGATTGGTGGTGTTACTATGGAAAGCCTCTAGAGAGAAGTGACGGGTAGCTGAGGCATTTCACATGAGCATCCACACAGGAGCCCATAGGCCAACAGTGGTCGATCACTTCTGCCCAGTCATTGATGGGGGTAGACAAACAATAAACACATAACTATTTCACAATACTAATGAAGGATAGTGGCCAGCAGCGGAATTCCGGGATGTGCGTTGTGACCTATTTGGGAAGCCATAAAGATGTACCTGTCTCTCAGTTAGTGATGTTGTTTCCACTAAGACTTGAATCCGGGACCTATCGCTTCAATCTTCACAGCGTTACCCACTAGACCACAGAGTCATTGTCCATCGTTGATATATTTCGAAATAGGCAATATCAAGGCATCCACGCAGGGGCCCATATATCACAATAGAGACTGATTAATTCCGTCCGGTCAATAGAAGCAACAGCACTAAATAAACTATGACCGTTGTACAAGAAGTAGCTAACATGACTCGGTATCGTAGTGGATAACTCTGTGGCATTAGAAGCTATCTCTCCCGAGTTTGAGTCATAATAGGAATAATATTACTCACTGGAAGACAGGGACTTCCAGCTGTTAAGTCCCAAGTATTACAAAAAGCCCGTCCTGGATCTCAGTGCTAGACACTGTCTATCATTAGTGTAAATCCGAAACGACAGGCACTATCGAGGCATCTGCGCAGGAGCCCATATGCCGATAAAGAGGGTTCATTTCGATCCAATCAACCACAGGAGAATACAAGTAGCAACATATTTCACAATATGTTAAGTTCTCATGCACTCAATAGAAATGAAGACATAACTTTCCAGCCAACTTGAACATTATATCCAAAATAACACACTACACACACTGGTTATAGTTAAGGTACAAAGTGCACAAACAAACTGAATTTTTCACACCACACCCAATGACATCTTCATCTTGAACTAATGGACTAATAACTGTTAACGATGACATTTATTCTCATATTATTATCATGTATG